ATGTTACCCGTTACTCGTTACTTTTGATTAAAAAAAGCCGCGTGACTGTTTGAAAACAAAATAATTTTTATTCTGTGCACAACGGAAAAGTGGCAGAGAAGCCTCAACGAAGCTACGTATAAACGGCGTCACTTAAAACTCATTCGTAAGACACTTTTAACATTCCCACAACCGGGCCCAAAAGGCGCTAGATTGTCGCTGCGCGGAACCCCTAAGCGTCCCCTGTGCTGTCATTTTCTAGAACCCGCTAAGATCACCTTCACTGTACGCTAATGGAGCAGCCGTTTCGCTGGAAAGGGACGTCCGTTTAGAAGGCAACAGTCTGCCGCTGATCGGAGTTTGCCTCAGCGTCCCTAGCTACTCCAGCTGCTCACAGCCTTCTCTTCAAAACAAATAAATTCTCGTTCTGTGAACAACGCTTTGAACAAAAACAAGTGGCAAAATTATCGCACCCCTGAACGGCGACCGTCGCCAGAAAGACGTCACTACCTTTTAGAATCCCTGCCGCCGTGGTACAAAGGTGCGGTCTCTCACATGACAACGACTCCAAGTCAGAAGGTAGCATCCCACTAAGTCCTCTAGGCATTCTTTCTTCCATAGTGCCTCAAAGATTAGACGAAAGACGGCGTCACCACCGCGGACAGCACCTTTTTTGTATCGTAGTTTGTCAGGCATAAACAGCGTAGTCTTTCACAAGAAAGCATGCCCCCAACTCCCTGGCATTCAAAGACCGAATTATCTATTGCTGGACGCTGCGCCCGCTTTTTCTTCTCGCAGTTCCCGGTTGTGTCTGAAGGCTACCGTACCATCCTTCTAGAGAGACACATTCGTAGCAGTTATAGTGATGACTTTCGTCTGCTTCGCCCTTACTTTGCTGCTGCCGGCGTGAAGAGAAGAATCAAGGTTTTTGACCGTGGAAGAGATACATAGGGTAAAGAGCTTATAAACGCTCGCCACCCTGTTCAGTCATATATAAACGTAAAGATACTACGAGTTTGCATGTAATTATGATTGAAGTATGGCCGCCGCTTTACTTCGTTTATAATCCCACATAATCATCTTTGGTTATTCGTATAGGTTATAATAAGCGATCGGTGTCCTATTTTCGATGCTTGTGTAGACTAAACCGGACCGTGATTAAAACCGGCGTGGCTATGAGGTGTATTTGTTTGTGAGCAGTTCGTGTACTGTACTGGTTGTCTCTGCCACGCGACATCTGCCTCTAACCAACAAGGCCGTTTTGGAACGCTTGTTAAAAAATCCCCCTTTACTGCCACCTCCCACTCACTTTTCGTGCATGATGGCAACGGCCACCGAAACTCCGTTACCATGGCACGGGCTAAGTGCTATGCATGAACTGAGAGAAACTAAATAAGACAATTTGTTTTTTAAATGTCTACTCTGTTTGCCGAAACTCAAGCTGCTGACAACATCCAGAACGTCGAACTCTAATTTGAAAAAAAAAAAGAAGAAAAACATTAAGGTGAGTTATTCTTCAATGTGACTTACTTTTTTTCCGCTAAACTTTCGTGGTTCAGTTTCGTTGGCCAAAAGAACTCACCTTTATTTCGAGATCGTTTTGTTAGTCGCATAGTTTTTCAGCTACATCTCACAATGCTCAATAATGTAAGCTAGCGAAAACTCTCCGAAAACGGCTTAATTTAGTTTACTTGTATATTTCAGACGAAGGGTAAATCAATCACGGCAGTTATATATAAACACGCCAATTTTACATTTGTTTAGGTGTGCGATTTATTTATACAGTTTTTTCTATACTTATTTGTAATGCAGTTAATTTAGTTGATATTTCGTTGTACCACATTACTGATACCTAGCCATTAACAAAGGGGCTTCGCATCAGTCCTAATTATTTTATTTTCCGCCAGTCCCTCCATTCGTAGAAGCTATCAGAGTTCGAGGTTCTTTCAAACAAAGCAAATACAGAGACTACAACCCACTGTCCCGAGGGGCCCTTGCTGAAGCAGATGAGGATCGACCGTATGCATGAAGTTCCGTTTACTGAAGAACGGTTCGACAAGCTTGTGGAGACGTTTGTGGTTCAGACGCTACAGTCATATACTAACAGTCATATACTAACAGCTGTCATATCCTAACAGTGAAGCACAAAGTACCGACAAACTAACGTAAAAGTAACGTCCGTTAGTCATGGCAAGTAATGATACCGGTATTTGGTTACATTTGCAAAATAGTAACGGAGCTCTGTAACGCGTTAGCTTTTTTCCAAGCGAACGAGTAACGCTATTTCGTTACTTATTTTCGGTAACGGGCACATAATTTGCTTAGAGTAAACGTCTACACGTATCGCCAAAGCTTATTAGTATGCTGCGCCACTGAATTTGAAATCAATCAAGTTGTCCAAGTGAATTTTTTATTCAAGCATTTTATGTCATCTTACGCTTCATATGGGTCCTGTTACAAGCAGACAGACAGTACCACACATGCAACTCTACTTACAGAAAATAACACACTTGTACAATCGAGGCAATTCGAAAACATGCTCATTGGCTTCTCTGATGCGAAATACTTTGCGACTTACAAAAACCGCGATGACGGCTTCAGCGAATAAATTACATGACTTGCTGGAAGGTCTTTTTTTATTATTAAATACAGAGATGGCACATCAAAAACTGTTTTGTTTTTTTGGAATGTAGCTTTACATGAGAATAAAAAAAGCCAACTACATACACTAGTTTCTGGTAAGGTCTGTTATTCCTTTGTGACAAATCAATTCAAACAATATAGTACTCTATGATTCGAACACACAATAAATTGTATTGTAATTAGTTAAAGAAAACTGACAAATATGCATAAACATGTCTCACAGAATGCCGAAAATAGTGATCAAGCAAGCAGCAGTTTATGTTGTAACTTTTTTGCGTGTAATATTAATTGAGTTAACGCAGTTAAAGTTGATGTCAAGATAACACTCGAGAACTTTAGATCAGCACTTACATCTTGATGGTGCTAACTGTTTCTAACTCAAAACTTTAGCATCAAAAAGGATGTAGAATTCTATAAAAAAGCAACTAAAAGCTTAGACTAAATGGCTTGTTGCATACATATGAAAGCTTTCAGAGGTGCAAACTTTAGAAAAAATGAAAACGTTTGCTACCTCTGACGGAGTTCATGCAACATGTTTGTATTTCTTGTTTCAAATATTTATGTACAGGTTTCACACTACACACACAGGCAATACAGACTAGAAGCACAGTTCATTGAAATAACTAAAATACACAATACATAATCTTTAGTCAGGAACAAACATTCAGTCCTACAAAAGTAGTGCCATATTTAATATATCTTAGTTTACCTGACATATTGTGTAGCTTCCCATTGATGGAATGCCACTTTGTCTAAGACACTCTGTTGTCCACAAATAACCGTGGACAACAAAGAACCGAAAGCATATAAACAGAAAGAGTTGTATGTAACATTAGGCAGGTTTTCTCGTCTGTACCTGGGCATCTTTTCCTCGCTACAATGCAATGATTACGAAACTGTGCACTATATAACCCCTTACCCTTCTCTTGCACGACAACTCACTATTAGCTGCCTCTCCGAGCAAGTATTGGCTTTTTGTGAACATAACACACTTATGAAAAAAAATTGTGACTCCTATTTGTTCCACTGGTTGCTTAAGCTTTTAAACAATGCCCCCTTGACGTATTCATAAAAATAAATGTGGAGTGTAAATCATACTCGCCTTGGGAAATTGAGGGCTTCTTTTCAGACTGTTGCGCTGGCCAGTAGGGGAGCATAAGCAAGACACCGTATTCATCTATAACGTTAGACGCACCTTTTCTTTGGATTTGTAATATGACATACAAGCCTATGAAACGGACGTTTTTGTGTAGAGGGCAGCGTTATTCAAGATTATTGACACATGAGTACGCTCCCGCAGCAATGTGGGACATTCTTTAATTGTACAAAGAACAAAAGTTACGGCGCTTACAATGTAGGCAAACTAAACTCGTCATTGTCCCAAAAATGAGGTGAAGAGGACACACCGCAAAAAGCAAGCAGTATGTACAACAATTTTCACAATAAGTAGAAACCTTAAAAATAAGAAGCATCTAAGGGTTTCTATTATATTCCTCTGAAGGAAAGGCTATTAATAAATCACAGTGACTTTTGAAAATTAGATTCCCATGGCAAAGATGACACTCTCGTACGTCTACAGATTTTTTTTACATTATACTTTTCTGATAAGCCAAAATCAGATAGAACTACTAATTTCGTCTACTCCTGACTCAGCTAAAAGACCATAATAGTGAAGCGAACAAAAATAAATTCCTTCTGCATGTTTTTTTTTTTATATTATGAACGAAGCTAAGCGACTGAAAGCAGGGCGCTACATTTGTGGCATGTAAGGTCCCTTCTGCCTCCACCTGATTATCTACCGGAGTCCTAAAACTGCAGCAGAACAACCCTTTAAGGAAATAGCTGCCGCAACGAGGCATCCTCTCATTAAGCCTATTAATGAGCGCCAAAAAAAAAGGGGGTAACTTTCTGCTGCAGTTTATTCGACGCAAATGGCTACGAAAACCTTAAAAGGCTTATTCACACATTTGCGACTGCTTACGATTAAGTACCTTAAACCCTCTTAGGATTCCCTTACGATGAGAAAATATACTGGCGCCCTCTATCGTGTAGCCGTGGGACGCTTGGTATTCCTGTATATTTACTATTTTCTTCGCGCATCATTCTTCTGGAGAAACCTTCGTGAGTGCTATGAATTTACATATTTTATAGATAGTGCGTACAGAGCGCGACACTGTTAGGGCGAACAAGCGATCTCCGATTTCTGCAGTTCTTCTCTTTGAAACCAAGGGATGTCATCCAAGTTATTATTTCTACGGAAAGGGCTCATTTAGTTCTATAATGTAAGCGATAACATTTCGTGCTTCCTAATACCATTTAGAAGTAAAATGCGAAAATACGCCGATGTCGTGTTCGCGCTAACAGTGTCGCGATGTGTACATTTGATCTCGCAAATGCTGCAAAACCTTCGCTCTAGTTAAATGTAGTTCCAAGGTCACCTCACAGATGGCGCCAGCGTGCCAGTGTGTTCTTTCGTCGTAAGAGATCACGAGAACTTGGTTGTAAGCGAACGGGGGTGTGTGAACGGGCCTTAAAAGCATGGCAGGACAAGAAACAGGGACGACATGGCGGCCTGCCGCGTTACGGGGAGCGAACCCAGACCATCATGCGGGGGTGGACGACATTCCCAATTTCGCAGTTGACCGTTCGCGTCTTGCCGTTGAGCACAAAGACGGCTTCGTTGGCGGTAGTGACCATGTAGGTGCCGAAGATGCCCGCACTGGTGATGGGTCGGTTGGCGTTCCCCCACTGGGCCCCCCGGGGATCGATGGCCCGACCTATGCCAGTGATCATCTCCACCTTGCCGTCCTGCAGGTTCACCAGCAAGATGTCCTCCTTGTTGGACGAGCTCGCGTACAGGTCGTAGCTGTGGCTCGTTCGGGAGGTGAAGAACGTCACGTCGCTGATCTGGAGCGTCGTCTTCACGTCGAAGAGGAACTTCAATCCTGTTTCGTTTTTTTTTTTTTTTTAGTGTGTGAGAAGGAAAGTGAGGTTTAGTAACGAATGTGCGGTATAATTACAGTGCCAGCAACGCGACTTTGGCGTCATATCCCGAACATCCACCGAAAATGGTCCCGAAGTGGCAACCAATCACGCCACAAGAGAAAAGCATTTTGCTGTCGGATGTCGCGATCCTGGCGGTTGTTGATAAACGTCCCGGCAAAACGTACGGGCGAACACGGGTGTTTCTCCCGCCGCGTACTCCCGACTATTGTTTTGTGAAGCTTCCATGGACTGTCGAGCTTAGGAGTCCTACAGCACAAAAGGTGCCTGCCATGTGACACCACCAGGACCGCGGCAAGCGAGAGCATGGCACTTTTATGACGTCGTCAGGTAGAAATTGAGGGACCACTTTCCAGGAAGCAGTAAACATATTACTCGAGATGCGTTCCAGGCACCCTAGTATAATTAACCTTTCTTATATAAAAAGACACCAAGCGACGAAAGCTCGAAGACCGATTTGTGTCCGGAAGGGGAATTGCGCTACCTTTCCTGCCTCCTCTGCGATTCATCTCAGTCGCGGAGGAGGCAGGAGGGGTAGCGCAACTCCCGTTCCGGACACGGACCGTAGTTTTTTTTTTTTTTATTATAATGCAATTAAATGCAAAGGTGCAAGCGAGCTAGACAAGAATGACGAAAATAATCCCTGGAGAAGGGGAACAAGGGGGACAAAGGACAAACATAAATCTCCAAACACAGCTAGGTGACTGGTGCGCGACCGAAAAAATCCGCCTGGTCCGGGTATTGAACCCGGGACCTCTCCATTACAAGTGGAGCGCTCTACCAACTGAGCTAACCAGGGGTTAGACGTTAGTAGAGCAAACGGGTTTTATCAGCTCCACTTGTAATGGAGAGGTCCCGGGTTCAATACCCGGACCAGGCGGATTTTTTCGGTCGCGTACCAGTCACCTAGCTGTGTTTGGAGATTTATGTTTGTCCTTTGTCCCCCTTGTTCCCCTTCTCCAGGGATTATTTTCGTCGACCGTAGTTTCGAGTATTCGTCGCTGCATAAAGAGGGCTTGTGCATGCGCAAAACTCTTGAAGAGAGTCCATAGCTGGTTTGGTGGTCATAACTGGTAGCAGGCATGTTCCTTGGTGGACACTTAAAAATATTGGAGGTCGTGGTCAATGGCGCCGTATCCAAAGTACTGTTCTCATCTTGAAAATACAAAGGTCAGAAAATTTAACGAAAGGCGGCACCGTGTATAAGATTCCGACAATATATTTTTGTCTAAGAGCAAAACGACGCCAGGATTACGGTGTTTCGATTAAAATACCAAATAATGCCTGATTCATACGATGCGCTCCGCTTGAGATTTGAAGTTGTGAGTCGAGCGCCCAGCTTCCGTTACCAGCTTTTCAAGTTTCATATGAAGAAGCGCTGTAACTAAAAATCGCGAGCAGAATCGCGCCACGTAAATCAGGCTTAAAGCACCAGCCTATGTGGGGTGCCTTCGGTGCGAACACCTCCTTTCTTGCTGTTTTCCCACCTTGCAACGTTCATAAAGAAGCGACTGTAGCGAATTCGCTTTAATATGTGTTTTACATGACTTTTTATCGTGCCTGATAACCTCTCTTAGCAGAATTTAAATGCGGAAATGTAATTCTCTGACCTCGAGAAGTATTGCTGCCCAAAATTAAAAATCACTACACTAAAATAAAAAAAAAGCCACCAAAACTTTTCCGTGGCTCATCAAGACATATTAAATAATGCAGTATAAAGATAGTTGGTAATTACTGCTCACTATATGCGGTGACAAGTTAGTAACCCAGTAGAAACTCATCTTTCAGCACGCACTCGTTGCCTTTTACCAGGTTTTGGCTACGGATGCGACAAAGTGTTATCGAAGGCAAAAGCCCGCACTCGAAGCCGAGCATCTACTGGGTTTTTAACCTTTTGCCGACATATAGTTACCATCTACTTAAGAGAATACCATCAATACATAGTGCCTCAAGATGTGTTTCAAAATGTTTATATTTCATCAGCCACATTGTAACATTAAAATTTTAAGTCTAAAGATTCCCTCTCTAAAAAGATTGAACACTCAATACCTTCAATGGCCGTTTGACAGTAGACTAGGTCAGATCGAACGATGACCGTTACTTTACGTGACACACAATATCTTGACATTACACAGAACCTCATTACGTGTATAAGCATGGAGTCGACGGTTAGAGGGGTTTGAGGGAGCGTTGAATCCAAAGCCAAACGAGTAACCGCGTTATTTGCCCTGATCGTGCTGGTGTTGAATTAATATAAAGTTCATATCATCAATCTTTCTTTTTGCTAAAAACTGACTTGATGCTTGAAATTTTAACTAGGCAGCATGACAAATGTTAATTATCCCTAGTGAAAAATGCATCATTATGTTCTGTTCTTATAGTGATGGCAATATTAAGCTCCGGGTATTTTGTAACGGACATTTGATATGGCGACCGCGGCAATACCTAAACGCTGGTTTATGCATGCAGAATTCGAGCCACGTAAAATATAGATAAATATATACATTTTGTTCAATTTTCAGGAGAACAAATTTAGTGAGCATCAACCGGCAGGAAAGAAGGTGCTGCCATCCAGTTTGTTACAAGTGAAACCTCTATGGTTCTTGTTCTTTTGCTACAATCCGTAAAATGCTTCTAACATTCTTTGATATCTTCTCAACAAAGGGCAGCGTTTGGGTTATGGCAGGTGCGGATCGTGAAACAATCAAAATCAGTGGTTTACACTTCGACACAAACTCAGTCCACCCAACTCATCTTTTATGAACATAAAAAAGTAAACGAAACAAAGGTTGTGTCATTCGGTGTGAAACCAGCACAAGAGATGGCAGGGGAATTCATTCGCGTCATAAATGATCACAGACTTCCCAGTTCCTGGGAGACCAAGCAATGCAAAATAACTCAGTTCTGGAAAAAAATAATTATCATCTGCAATTTTTTCGCTTACATTATTAAGTTTGTGTTTCTTGTAAAAAACCCAAGTATGAATAGTACCACAGCACATGCTAAGCATGTGGAGATTGTGCATCCATCAACGAAACAAAATGTTCTGTTTGTTTTAGGTGGGCATGATGTTGCACTAGGCTAGAGAGGGATTCAGGCTTTCCCAATCGCCTTTTCTCTCCATCTCTTTGTTATTTTTGGTCCTATGAGTGCCACTGGTTTCCCTGATTTAACCAGTTTCATTTCGCATGAAACCGAGACATCGTAATCGTGCTCCGTCCGCGGCGCTCTTACGGCGCCCATGTGTCAAGCTTTTCCACTCTGCACCGGCGTGCTAGGAGCAGCGGCTGACGCAGGGGCGCATCCAAGCTAGCTTGATCGGCTCGGAAATTTTGCTCACTTTTATAGACTGACATTCTGTAGTTGTGGTTATAGACAGACCGCTAATTTTATTCAAGAGCACCGAAAATCAATTGCCGATTTATATTTCAATAAATAAAGTAGTTCCCCATGAACGTCGACATGAAAAAAATTGCTGTGTAAGAGTTGGTTCCTGCCTCACCTATTGACCCCCAAAAACATTATTGAGTGCACGTTTTTTCGGATTATACATTTTTTTACCGCAGTCAGCTAAGAAACGTATCAACACATGGCTTGCACGTGACGCCACTCAAAGAGCGCTCCGATGACCACCAGAGACGAGGGGAAGAGGGAGCTCCCCTCTTATCAGGATCCTCGTTTGTGCCTCCCAGATTTGCACAGACGTCACTATTCTCCTCCCAGAAGATTATAGAAGATTAACCCGTCACTCAAAATTCTTACAAAAGCAGCTTCCCTCTCCTCCTCTTACATGGTGGTCAAAAGTATGCGATGTGATGTCAGTGCAACCCATGTATATAGAGTCCTACAGCATTCAATTTAATTATCTTTACCAAAACCAGAATAGACAATGTATGACTCATACAATGTGCTTAAACCTTTTTAAGTTAATATGCCCTTTAAGATGACATTATGCAGTGACGTCAGAATATTTTGTAACCAATAAGCTTTTGTTTAACAAATGTGTTTGAGTTGCCTTGAATTGTTTTTAAAAAATCATAATTAAATTCCTAGTATATCTCAATGCTTTTCTGAAATATTTAGCATATTTTCTTACAGTGAGATATATCATAATCGAACTTTAAATAGTTTTATTTCAAATTATACAAGTTATGTTTTCGACTAGTGTATGACAAAAGTATATATCTAATCTGACACTTTGCTAAAAATGTGCAAATCTTGCTTTCTGGTGTTTTGGTGTGCTCTCATATATATAACCTCAAGCAGTCACAGAAGTGAGCCTTCCCATAAAAAAAACGTTAGCACTCTTCTTTTTGCAACAGGTTGCAAAGCACCCCTTAAAAAAGGAATATCAATAATGCAATTACCTTCCTCTGTGACCTCTTGTGCAACAATAATAACGCTGTTATTGCTGCTTTGCAATGTGATGACATGCTTGGAGTCGGGAGAAACATGTGGCCTTCCAAACAAGTTGGTCTTGTGGGAAAGCACTGTGTCTGTCAGGTAGTCCAAGAGGATCTGACCCATGGGCCTCTGCGTGATGGGCTCCAGGCATTCCAGAATTACGAAGCCTCCTGTATTAGGACGATTCCAGAATTAATACTTTGAGGATAGTAACCGAACAATATTTAAAATAAAATTCTAGAATTCATGCTACTAGCTGTGATATTTTTGCAAAATAAAATTCATGGGATTTTTCTGACACAGGATTGGGCAGTATCGCGATACAAATGTATAGTGATAGTATTTGAGAAATTATGTTTTTGTTATATTTCTGTATAACGATACAATTCTTCAACCAGTATCTGTATTTCAGTATTGGGATAGATTTTCAGTGTACTCCTTGTATCGCGATACAATCCTGGGCCAATGTGTCTCGCAACAATATTCGAGAAATCAGTAATTCCCAAGCGAAAGCTCAGAAGTTTTTTTGTTTTTTTTTTCTTCTTTCGGGCTTTAAAGGAGTAGAGGGTACAGTGGATGGGACCTTAAGGCTTTGTTATCAAGCAGATCAAGTTTTGTTCAGAACAGTATGACCCCGACATCGGTGACTCTCGTTCCTATTTTCCAAAATATGTATGTCTTCCGGAGTGCTTCAGTTTCGCGACTATTTTTGTAGAATCAAAACGTTAAAGAACTGTGGGTACGAGCTTTGCAACTCTACAACTGCTCTCCCAGCACAATTTACTAGGGCGAACAAAACGTTTTCTCCTTCAGATCATCACATAAAAGAACATCATTTCATTCCAAGATGAGGTCTTGAAGTGACCACAAAAAGGTACCAATATGTGGCTAGACGGTGCTGACCTTTTGGGGATATTTGGTAGATATAAAACAAATTTAGAGGTTCTTGTGACATTGCTTCGAACGTGTGAAATATGTATAAACGAGAACTGCACTGCATTATAAATGGAAAGTATTTCTAATTTACTGAACTCTCGCTTAGATTCCACATCTTTATGTTAAAGGAAAATTAAATTCTATACGAAAATAAATTCGGGATCAAAACATCAAAGTTCAACTTCAACCTTTACCTCTTGGATAGTATGGGTTTTTGTTTTCACTGAAGGACTCGTTTTTTTGCCTTAGAAGTATAAACCTTGTCAACGAAGCACCTATTACCAGCTCTAATTGAGGTCCTTATATACTATAAAAACTGAAAAAACAAAATTTGCATGGTTTAAATCTTTTTCCAGTGTGAAAACGATCTTCGTTTGTTTTAACATGAGCCCTGTTAGTTGACACTTGTGTTATGCTAAATCTCGATCGCTAACATGACTCCTTTCCCGAATCAGCAGTGGCTGATCGACGAGCTAATTGAAGAGCTACTAAAGTTACTTTCTGAGGAGATAAAATATGTAGCACAAAGTCAATTCATTTTTGCTTTACAAATAGTAACTTTTTGCTGGTCATACAAAAGTTCAAATCACAAAAATGTTTTTTAGACGTATGTGAGTATTAGTGTTTCGGCAAAATGTATTCCTGTATTTGTAAATCCAAATACTTTTTAGAGTATCTCTTCTTACACACCAATAAAACATCTTCCCTTGAACACTTTTTTGCTACAAAGTAATTAAAGTTAAAAAGAAAACTTGTATATTCATGTATTGGCTCATGACAAAGTGCTGAATGAGGATGCACGAGGATGGTTATTGAAATAATATGAATTCATTCTGTTCTGTTCACGACTTAGACTTGTTTTAACTTTCGTGTTTTTTTTGTTGTCAACATTCCTTGCTGGTATGTGACTTAAGCACTTTTCAACTTCACAATTATCTTATGGCCATTACATGAGCTTATATGAAAGCTCAAGAAAAGCTAGGGTTTTGCTAGGTAGGCTCAATTAGTGCTCCTGTCTGCAGCACTAATTTTATGGATCAGTGATGTGTGGTCGATAAAGAAAAACTTATATCTTAAGATATAAAATATAATCATCTTAGACAAGAACTTCAGTATTCACAGTAAGTAGTGTATGTTGAACACATGAAGGAGAAATTGGTGTGACTGTGCTGCATACCTAGGGATGCAAAGTCTGCACTGGCTGGGGCACAATTGTAGGGAGTTAAGTCAACAGTCTTAATATATTTCATTGCTCGCAGGTCCATCTTATACATTCCTCGTTGGTTTGTGTGCACAACATAGCCATACTTCCAGGGGTATCCAAGGTCTTGAGAAGGCGGAATAAATAGGCCACTGACCTGCAAATCAAAAACAAAGATAATGAAGATTGTGCCATACAACACTGTCGTCCTGGACACAAACTTGCTGTTAATAAAGGCCTTTTCACACTACAGCAAAGCGCTAAGTCAGCGCCACGTAAGCGCTCGAAAGAGCGCTCATGTGGGGCTTCCTAGCGCGGGACTTAATTCTAATATAGCGCGCAATTAGCGCTTTTGTAGCGCTTTGATAGTGCTTTAGTAGCGCCTTGTTAGCGCTTTAGTAGTGCTTTGTTAGCGCTTCAGTAGCGCCGTATTAGCGCCTCTTGTACCGCGGCTACTGCAGCGGATTAGCGCGTGCACTGCAGTTCCTGTTCCTGGGCGTGCGTCAGCAGCACCATGGCGGAGATGTGGGACGCTGAAATAAAAACGCGACAAATGCTCTTACATACACAATTAGTGCATATGTGTGTGGACGGACCAAAAGAGCCTTCTGGGTGCGCGAAATCTTTCACCACTGAGATACCAACGGGTACCGGTCGAAACTTGTTCCCACGCTCTGGAACCGAAACCCCGAACTTTTTCGAAGTTGATTATTTTTAACTGCTTGTCTATGAAACCATGGTCATGAATGTCGAATAGAAAGCGGTGATGTCGTAACCAATCAATTGGTCGCTTAAACTCCATCACTGCAGATCGTTTGTCCGACCGTTTGCTTGGAAAGCGGCTCTTTTACTTCCTCTTCTTTCACCACCAAAGGAAAAACAACAACAACAGAATCGCCGAGCACGCGCTGTTCCGCAGCAGCAAGAAGGGCACAAGGAGCGTGAGAGCGCTTACACTGCTCTGCTGAAGCGCTAACCGAGCGCTGCTGAAGCGCTAACGGAGCGCTGCTGAAGCGCTAGCCGAGCGCTACGTCATGTGCAAGTCGGTGCTGCCACATGAGCGCTGCTTCCAGCGCTCATGAGGCCCTAACGTAGCTCTCCGCTGCATGTGTGAACCGGCCTTAAGGGAACAGGGTAGGGCAAAATTGTGAAAAAATTTGAGTTTTTGTTTTTTAGGGATTTGGATTTCCCAGTCTTTCCTGAACAATGCTGACTGTGTAATTTGAGCGTGCGCGATTTATCTACAGGAAAAATGACCTTTTCCGAAACCTAGGTGGTGACCGACCACGCCCCCTTTTACACCTATGCACGATCTGTATCTCTCCTACGTTGTAAAAAAACCGTAAAAAAAACGCAGATTTTCACTAGGTTTAGCGGAATGTTTATTGCTCGTCCAGCAACAGCAAAAAGCTGTCTAGCTTTTAATTTTTAGCCCCATAAATCCTCAGACACTGCCGGTGTCAGTCGCGACGCGCATACTTTTGCTTCTGCTTCGGCATGCTTCCACGGGCAAGGTAATTTATTGTTTACTTTAACACTAGGTTTGGAATGTTAAAAATGACGAAGACGAAGAAAATATTTTAAAAGCATCGCTTCCAGTGTAGTCGGCATAGGTCAACTTCTTATGCCGCCGAGTCCCCGCAACGCATTCTGATGCCTGACGCAGCGGTTACCACGTGTGCGTCTTCTTCGAAGCTGTCGCACTCGGCAGCACGCTTTGAAGAGCTCAAGGCAAGTGTTAGTGACTGCAACTGTGCACTGATTGGCAACGACCTTCTGTCCTGTACCGTCGCCGAAGCTGGGTGTGCAAAGTGTGTGGTGGGGACTTGCAGCTGGTTAAAAAAGCAGCTCTAAGAGCTGGCGTCGCCTGCACCTACTTTGAACTGTGAAAAGTGGTGGTGGACACACTGATTAGAGAGACGTCAAAACGGACAACTTCGAGCCTCTACTTGGCGTTTTACCAGGATGATTCATGGTGCAGTGGTTGTGGGACGTTGACCGGCGACGACTTTACTTGTCAGACAGGGCTACACAGCTCGTCACAAAAGAGGCCCAAAAAGCAAGACAGCAAACAAAGAAACTAAATATTGACTATGGAGGTGACAACCTGGCTGGTGGCTACCGAACGGATACATCAGCATGCATTTCTAGAGTGCAAGTTTATTATAAAGCGCCTTTTTTCACTTCAAAGTCGATTATCTCAAAACATCATTATTTTGCGACGTTTGACCCTTTTTCTCCGAAACCATAAAAACTAGAAGTATCATTTTTTTCCACTAACAAGACAACACAAGGGGGAGTCTACTGAACTAGAATTATGGAAATTAATCAAGGCAATTTTGTTTGACAAGCTGTTTATTGTCTATTTTGGCATTAAAATTAGAAGGGTCCATTAAAAACAAAAGCAAAAAGAACTAAAATATATATAACAATAAATCTAGTTCAGTAAAGAGAACACAGAAAGCTAAATACAATGATACCAACATGAATCCTCTAACCCTAGCAGATCCTGAGAAAAAGGGTCACATACATAGGCTGAAACACATGGGAAGAATAGGGCCTACCCTGTTCCCTTAAGGAGCTAGGCTAACACTACTTAATTCTGGAATAGTCCCATTGGAGATTGCATCAATTGTAACGAAATAGCATATTTAGTGATATTTAAGTTGACATTCAGATATATTGTACCATAAATTCTCCATAATTATCAGAAAGGAATCAAATAAGAATGTACTAGATATGTATGTCACAAGTTGCCGATTGCAAGCCACAATCCCCACACAGATTTTTATAAAAAAAGCCGCAATAGCAACTGCTCTCTTATTAAATAAAATGTGGGGTATTTTTAGTGTTTAAAATCTTTTAACAATTTAGCCAAAAGTATAATCTGCAAGAATTTATAAAAGACATACGAACAATTATTTAACTATCAGAAATTGGACGAGTTTTTCTTTATTTTAGTAATAATATGTAATGAGTTGTTTTCAAGCAATTAGAATAGTATTTAATTAGTAGTTAATTGTTGCCTATTTGTCAACTTCTTAAATTATAGCTAGTAAGGAAATATGCAGATTAAAGGGAATAGAGGTAAGGGAATAGAATAAAGAGAACAAATTAAACATGTGATTCTGAATGGACTGATAAACGTGCTAATTCAATGAACGAGGTGAACATGATTTATTTCGGTGCTCAGTTCGGATCAACATATAAAAATGGTGTCTAAATAAAAACCACCCCAGTAAAGAGATTGGTAGTTTCGATAATTGCTAAACATTGATTATGACCTGTACGTTACATGTTGTCACTTGCAATTTGCAATGCAGGTGAAAAGCAATGAAGATATCAGGTTTACAATGCTCCTGTTATATTTAGGTCTGATAGCTTTTACTAACAATCCTACACCTCTGCCGACACGTCTAACAATAGGTGCTTGAGGGACAATGGGACAGTAGAGAAAACAGTGAATATTTTGGCTGACCCTTTATGACCAGTCATTCCGTCTGGGTGTCATGCAAGTATATAGTGTCATGCAAGTAAAATAGTATGATGATAGAATTATGAGCATTCTTTTTTGACCACTTATTGTGATTATTCCGCAGGAATAGAAGAACCAAGCTCAATTGAACTTTTGTCAAGCTAAGAGCGTGTACGACGTATACTATAACAAAACATTTTTGTTCAATATGTTGTGCTACAGTTGTAAGTCTGGCGCTCAAAGATACGCAACAAAGATGCAAAGATATGTAACAAATCCAAACCAGGTCAAAGTGGCCGTCAACGGGCTCAGGGTGCACAGTGTGGTGCTTCTTCTTCTGGCTGGCATCTCGTATGATCTGGATGGTTTTGGTGCCCCTGTCCACTGGCCCCCTCCAGCAGAGGACCCACACTTGGTCAAGATGGGGAACATAGTGCAGGTCAACTGGAAACTTGTCTGTGACCACAACCTGCAGAGCAATGTTGCAAGCTCAGCAAAGGCACAGTTCTGAGTTGTGACAAGCAGTACGAAAATAATTTAGGATGTGTCCTGTTTGAGCTTTATTTATAGGTTTTTTTTATGTGCCTGTTTTCACAGCTCATGCGAGACATATTTTCTTCTAAATGAATCAGGAAAAAACGGACTTCATGTAATCTGGTCCCCGCATGCTGCACTGTTTTCCCGCAAGTGCTGTCGGCAGTTGTGCTTTGTTTTTCTATGTGCGTGTCTGTGTGAATGTGGTTTGCATTTTCGCAATCACCAACCGGTGTTGCCTCTTTTTGTTGTTGAGGGTACTGCGCAGAAGTCGAAGATGACGACGGGGCATTAGTGCGCACGACTATGTCGCGCGCTAGGCCCCACCTGCTGCCCCAGCCTCTATAAATTAATCGTGTGTTCTATCGTCTTGTATTGTCTTATTCATTCTGCTGCTGACCGGATCATCCTAACAATATTGAGTATACTGAACTATAAAGAACTTAGACTTCCTTCCAACAAGCCGCTGAATGTATGACAGATAACAATAATTATTGGCAACTTCAGCTAAATCTCTTACAATTTACATTCACGGCTATATTCTCAGGCTTCAAAGCAGTCAACGCAGTCTAAATCTCTTTTAAACTCCTTTAGTCATTTAATGGTGTAGTAATTACGGGCTCAAGATCAAAACTAAGAGAGCGGATATTACTGTCTATTCATGGCCATGTCAAAAGTTTACAGGTTCCGATGACTAAAGCATAAAGCTGTGAAAGTAGGTCAGTAAACCCTTCGATTGGAGTCGGCAGTATTCTTGTTTAAATTCACATTTGGCTCTTTTTGTCCAATGTCCTTCAATTAACACTGTAAAAAATATTTTACACTTACAACAATATTTATAATGAGATGATGCCTCGATATGTGTTTTGCTATTAGCAATCTTTGTGAAACAAAACTGACGAATGTTTCAATTGACCTGAAAGATCATGATAGAAAAAATAGTTCTGAACAGATATTTCTTTTTCACTACATCTCTCGAATCGTTTCTCCACAATCAACAAGTTAAAATTCATGTAAAGGATATCACTAGCCATGTGACATTTTAGCTAGAAAACGTAACTAACAATGACAAGGTCACTGTACGTACATCAACAACAACCATCTGTATCCTGGAGATGATGAGCACGCGACCCTTGGTTGGCTGGGAAACGTAGACGTATCGGTCGGCCACATTGATGGCGCGACCCCAGGAGCAGTTGGTGCCCCTGTCGCCGCAGACATACTCCTGGGTGCCAGGAATGATGTCCACACTCTGGATCTGATGGTAGAGGCGGCAGTTGTCTGGATCGTACACCGCAACGCCCCAATCGTGGAATGCAAAGAAGCGACGCTCCTCCGATGGGGCGGCTGGAAGAATGAAGCCTTTTAGCTTTATGTATCACACAAAGATTCTTAACAGTGTATAGCTTTCAAGATACCTTTCTGCGTAAAGTTGGCACCTAGTGGCAGACATACAAGCCTATTTTGTAGGAAATGGGATCAAGTTCATTTAACTAATTGCCATTTGAGTTGGGGTACCACATCTAAAACTAATATAAACAAACTAATTATTCAAAAAAGAACTGCGTTTCATTATTTTTTAAGCACAAAATCATGAGAGTTGACTGTGTCTATGACTATCGTTTATTATCTTTGTATTTCGTTTCAAGTAGCGTGTAGGGCGGTTTGTCTCATCTTTTTAGTTTGACTAAACGGGAATCTATCATAAGTATTCGACACAAGGAATTATGGATCGTTCCCTATTTCTGTAATTATGCACTCCAATCTCTTGTTCAAAACCGACCCACTTTGCTTTAGAACTTTGTCCTCGACCACATTGATATTCGTTGCTGAACTAAAAAAACTGGTTGCCCTCATTTTGTTTAGGCGAATAGTGTTGTTTTATTTTATTATAGAATACTGTTTTGTGCTGTAGGGACACCGGACCTAGCCAAACTTTTTATTTGAAGCTTTTAATCCGGTGTTCTTGCTGAAAATTTGATGTAATGAAGGTCAAGTTCAAGTGAAATGCATAGCGCAGTGGGCGTTCTGTAGCATAGACGAAAGTGGATCACTCAAAACGCATGCATGCTAGACATATGTCCAAGTCAAATAATAACAAAAATAGCTTAGCTGTAGCTACTTTGCCTGATCCTGCTCTCTCCAAAGCGCATATAAGCTGCCGCTACTAGGTGGTAGCAAAGCTCATGTATCAGCTGGACGCTTTTCATGAAAGATTAATTTCAGAATGTAGAGCAGAAGAACAACAGTGCAAAATAAAGCTTCTAGCTAGTTTACAATGTGTGATTAATCTTCAACAATAGTATAGATTCAGGATTATGGGAATCAGAAACAAATATTTGATTATATATTTGGGTATGAACTTATAAAAAATGTATCATGAATAAAGACATCCTGAGTATAAAATTACACTACAATGCATAACAACAGTAATTTTCAGTTGTAAGCGCCAAACCTGTATTCAATGATCGTTTAAACAGGATTCTCATTTTCATTGATTCTCTGAGGCAATAATACGAGCTGTGGATAATTCTCACAAAAGATAGAGGACATGATGCTCAGATTGTAATATACTGAATGATTTTCTTTTGAAAACAACTACGATAACTACAGAAAGAGTAAATATACCAGAGACAACTGAAATAAATATAGTAAAAGACAAAGTAGGGAATAAACACATGCAAGATCATAACTGACCAAGCCTGAGAGCAGCAATACCTTAACAGCATGAGCACATTGTCCGTGCAGGCGTTGCGCAGTTGTGGATGACTATGGTGGTGAACTTGCGCCGTTACAATATAAAAATGTAACGATGCAGAACAGAACGAACCTATCATAAACTGTGTCCTGATCACATTTCACACTTATTTGTTGCTTTCACTGCCATCATTGTGTAATTGAACTATGCCATTCAGCCTTCATTTTTCAAATATCCTAAGACCGGTTGCTATATTTATATTCAGCAATTAATGAGAGAAACATGGACAGTGTTTTCATTTAATGTATGTACCAGTTGCTATATTTATCACCAGTGAGATGAGGGGCACCAGGGGTAAAATCTAGCATTCGACGAATGTGGTATACCAACCATGTTTTGTCTCAGTCTTCACACGAATAAAGTATGTTGTAGTTCAGGCAAAATAAATTGAATAAGGCATATAATTAAAAGAGGCAATCAAGAAATTACTTTAGAAGAAAATGAAAAAAATAATTTGGTACAATTTTTTTTTAAATATTTATGTTTGCAGAACAGTGGTAACATTTATGCTTAATCTAATTTTTATGAGTTAGGTGCAGATGCAGATGTTTTCTGGTAATCTATTAAAGAATTAAATACTACTGTAGTTTTTTAACCTCTTGTTTTCGAAGTGTGCATATCTGCATTTCTGCCGAGAACCTATATTATAGCCAAACATTGTGACATATGATATAAGCTCACCAAATTAGGAGGCAAAGTTAGGATAGATAATAAATTCTGTATTTGAAAAAAAAAAAGAAACACCTGTTGTCCCAGTCTTTCTCCTAACAATCTCGAGCAGGAATAATGTGTGCTGCAATAGTGATCATGAAACCACATAAGCATCATGGTATCAATACAGAAAAAAAAAATTAATTCTTGGTAACAAACACTTTCTGTGTCTTGTCATTCCCTAGGCTCCCTTCCTAAATTGTAATGACTGCATGCTGTATAGATTTTCTTACGGAAAGTATATAAAACATCATGTACACTGTCACCAGATACGGATTGTGACATTGTTTTTTAAGGCATGTGTCCTACAAACACTGTGCCGCTTCTAGGTCAGCACACGGTTATCTCCACAGCCTCTGGCAGAGGACACTGATCTCTCTTCGGAGTAGGACTTACTCTGTTGTTTTCGTCTTACTTCAAGCAGGGCCCTCAGAGGTACACTTTACCACTGTATGGCATAAGGCACTTTAAACGTTTATTTTAGTTTGTATATTTAATCAGAAATTTGTAGCTCGTCATCAAACAAAGCCGTTGTTGCTATTAGCCTTTAAAGAACTTCTGGTTTATAATATGGGCAATTTAGAAGCTTTCGAATTTTCTAATTTTCCTCTATTAGAAGATTTCAAAGCATGTAAGATTCCGAAATTCTAAATTCACCATATTAGACGATTTCGATTTCTGAGAGCACTGGCAGAGTGTGTTAGCACGCCGAGCTGAAAGCTTACTGAGTGAAAGGTTGTGCTGCACATCTCAAGGATCCTGGGTTCGATCCCCACCCCAGCCGCTTCAATTTGAATGAACATGGTACTATCGTGCCATCCGGTTTCACTACTATGTTTTGTACATTAAGAATCCCAGGTCAGCGCTCATTTAGCACTGGATATATTTCCCTTACAATATATACAGCATAAAAGACCAACACGTTACAAGAGTAAACTACTAATGGCTAATTTGCTCCAGACCAGAACTACCTTGATGGTTATGTATTTTAGATTCGGCATGTTAATTCCTCGATAGCTTAAATTCACCCCTGACTATAGCATCAAGTAGAATTTTGCTTTCCGTAATGAAAATCACATTAAAATAAAAATGTTGGAACACTCAAGTAGTTAATTAAAGCTTTACTTAAATACATCATCCTGTAAGTAGATGGTATGTGATACTTTCATTGTTAGTGGACCTTATCATCAACTGAAATCGTCTCACAAAAGCAGCACTGGCATTTTTTATTTAGGCAGAAAAATCTTTTTTTCTTTTTTTGTGAATTTCCAATGACCCATTGCACGCCTTACAAGATGCAATGCACCCCTTTCAATGCGCCTTTTCTACAGCACGTGGAGCGAAACCTTTCAACGAACTCTTCGCAATGCTTTCCTCTGGAGCACGTGGAGCAAAAGCTAACGCTGCAGAACTCGGAAATCCTGAAGTCAATCCCTACCCCTGCCCGTTTCGATCTGGATGAGCATCCTACTGGTGTGCGGTGGTGTATCACTACTACGTGATGCAAGTTAAAGACCCCAAGTTGGCAGTCGTACTGCATTGAATAAATTGACCATTCGCAGCATAAACCAGTGTCGCCTTACACTAAAGCAGACCGATCTTACGCTTTCTAAACACAAACGTAACATCGATTTTTTTTTTTGCAGGCCAGCATGCACACTTGACTTATATTATGAGTATTACAGTTCTCGACAACATCTATACATTCGTATGTGAAGACAAAGACCAAGGATCTGCTCACTATAATATCTCAGTCGTTCAAGCTAACGCGCAGAGTAAGGAAAAAGAGAAAATTGCTGCTTTGCCTATGCTCTCGCAAGTTCCCCTATTTATAGGTGTCACTTCTAGATTAAGTGAATAATATGTAAATTTTTTGGCAATAGTAAGCTTGCATTGACGTACCCTGAAGATAATGATTCTGATACCTGATTAGATATAACATCATGCATATCAATAATATCGTTCTGTAGATGCTGCATTTTATTCAGACTTACTTGGTGTGGGCTGATCTTGTACTACAAGTGAGCTGATGTCCCTTGTTGAGCCCGCTGGATTAGATGCAACGCACATGTAAGCTCCTGTGTCACTGTAGGTTATCTTGCCAACCATCAGTGCAGTTCCGTTGCCTGGAATACGCATTTTTACAAATATAACATAACTTGCCAGGTTTATAACAGTTTTATATCGTCACAAATACACCTTTTTATGTTTAATATGTATTCCAGTAGTGCTAGTTCCCTCTTAAATCATTTTGAACTCTTCACTGACATATAGAATCACTTTCACAGAATATGGCAGTGATTCTCAGATACCTTAATCAATACCAGGCTGTAGTTGAATGCAATTTTCTGCGTTACAATTTTGTATAGCAGAGAAGTATGATTATGTGATGCAAAACCAAGAACGCAATCGTGGTTTTGACAGTGGCCAGTTGTCATCTCTATCAATATGGGCATTTCCCAGACATTACAGACACGTATAATCGCAACTCTGTAATGCCTGTAAAAAGAACCAGGTCGGCAATTATACTGCCATGATTAAATTGTTTCAGCACAATGTACAATGCAGACTCCAGATGCTACAAGACAGACTATCATCCATGTATCTTAGCCACAAACAACACTTTTTTGTAATGTAGCTAAATCGAAAACCACAAACCACTCACTAGAGTAAAAGATACAGAAACTTTAGGGGTTTTCCAAAAAATTATAACAACTATTATTGCTACACCTTGTTGGTGCCTACAAGGATTGTAAAGGTTACTTCAAAAATGTACCTAAGATACAGTTACAGCTACTAGTACGGAAAGGTACCTAGGTATGTACCTATGTACTCGCATAAAAATGTATTTAGATACAGGTACAGTTACTTAAAAAATAATTTCCTTATTTATTTTCCCCGTATCAGTCACAATATGTTGGAAGTAAAGCTTTTTTATAATAAGAATACGCACAAACACGAGTTCGATAAATGTGCTTTATTGCTGTCAATGCGAGAAATAAGGAAAACCTCATTCACATGAGAATTCCAGGACACGTTATCTTTTTCACTTAAGTGCTCTATTGGACTTTAGAATCAAGACCTCCTCAAAGTGTTATTTGACATCTTCGATCGCAGTGTAGGAGGAGGGAAGAGAATGCCCCACTTTTCCCAGATACAGGGGTTTTAACAGAAACTGCGCACATCTTTCAAGTTATCTCCTCCCTTGTATAGCTGTCAGAGGAGCTTCAAACATGCAATGAAGTCGATTCCGGTTTGAGATGAAGGAAGCAGGTCGCTATTTTCCCTAAACAGAGTTCCGAAGCAATTCGATAAATTGGTGTCGCTGGAACGGCATTGCTAATCCATCGTTCAATGCAAGGAACACCGCCATTCGCTGAAGTGTCGTTCTATGAAACATTATGGGCGGGGCTTTGTTCCCTAAAAGTCAATCGATCAAGTCAGTGCCTCACAGGTCGTACCCAACTCAAAGTTAATCATGGCACGTAGTAGTGTGTTAACACTTTAAGATTTATAGTTCCTACCATTTTGACGATGTGAATAAAAATTATATGTAAAAAGTAACTTCACTTAGTTACAAGTTACTGGAAAATGTACCTAAGATACAGATACAGATACCAAGAAATGAAAGTACCTAGGTTTGAACCTCAGGTACAACAAAACTATCTAGATACCTTTTTCCAGTTACTTATACCTAGGTATATCACAAACCTGGTGGCTACACTAACATTCATTCACATAAATATTAATGCTTGAATGTTCAAATTGCAGCATTTTGCCACTGTACCTGCGTATATTTATATAGAGTTGTTGTCAGTGTCAGAAATAGATAGAATATTTTATCCTATTAAAGACATTTACCTCATTTTGCAAGATAAAACTGCACACAACAGGAAAACACCATATTATATTGTGAGCAGGTAATAATTGCCTCCATTTATCACTTCTTGATACATTCTCTTATGCAACACAGGAAAGTTTTAACTAAACCAAAGCTTTACTGCGGATACACACCTATTCGTTTGAAGCTTAGTTTCCTCAAATTAAATAAGAGGTCATATTTTTTTCCAAACCGCTATGTAATGTTCACATGTAAGAAAACTTTTGCTGTACCTGGGAATCAAAATATTTAACATAGCGGCCCATTGTACATTCTGAAGCTACCGTTGTAAACAACATTAGGCTCAGGAGTATAAGGTTAAAGATATTTCGAGTTTGTTGTGCCATCTACCCTTTATGAAGTTAATGTATACTACAGGCATTGGTTTTAAGGCATTGCAGTGGATTATAGAGGCGAGGTTGCCATTTAACATTATAAAAGTATGAGTTTAAGAACGACCATGCAAACAGTCATTAACAGCTTTGATGTATCAGGACAGTTCTGCTTCTTAGGAGCACAGTCACTGACATATACTTCTTGATGTGCCTACAAAACTGCACCCATTTGAATGCATTTTGGTGTGTGCATATATTTGGTACTTACCCACAATAGTGTACTTGTCAGTTGCAATTTTTAAGCCTTCATCATTCTTGAGCCAGGTAACTCTCGGAGTAGGAACACCAGTCACATGGCATTCCATTTCCGCCAGTTCACCAGGGGCACGAGACTGCAGCTTAGGAATGACACGCACCTCGGGCATCGCTAGGATGAAAAAGAGGGTGATACAGTATCTGATACCTCGTAACAAGTGATACATGCAAGACTGAAATCGTTCATCATTGCATGATGAACGATTCTGATTTCTTATCGGAGCGCAACACCGCGCCCGCGGTCCTGCTCCCCAGTGGCTGAGGCGCGCAACACACGTGCGCCCTAATTCGCTCCACTCTACAAGGGAGGCGAGGGGGTGGCTTCGCGTCGCGACCACCGGGGAGCAGGACCGCGGGTGCAAAGATGCGCTCTGATAAGAAACCAAAATCTAGAAACGCGTCCAAATGAAGCGTTTTTACAGAACGCCGTAAAATGCTGCCCCGGCGTTATATAAATCTAAAAATAGTTGATTTAGTGGTTTTCAATGATACTCAGCAAGTTTCTATTTGGAACCATATGGCTATGTTCAGTAATTAAAAAGTTAATTAACAAACTTCAATTAATTAGCCGAGTTATCGCAAAGATTAGCCACCCACATAATGTCCGCTGGCCGTATAACTCACCTGCACAACCCGCATTAGTGTAGCTTCCACGGTTTTCTTTTTAAACAAATGTGTAAGAATAAAAAAATCCATATATATATACGATAAAAAGATCAACTTACTTTGAACATGCAAAATGTGGGTTTGAATGACATCATGATTCCTCTGTGCATGGCATGTGTAGTTTCCGGAGTGAACCAGCTGTACATTTGTGAGGTAAAGAGATCCATCAACAAAGACCTGAAACACAGAGACAGGTGATCCTTCTTAGCAAGTTTAGAACATCGTTTGAACCAGTCAATGGCCAATTATAGAGCAGCTAAATGAACGTTTGCAGCAAAATTTAGGTTTCATTTTTATTTTCCTTTGTTCCAGTATGTTAAGATTCATATGTCGGCCTTTTCAACTAAACATTTTTGGAAAATTTCTAGGCAGTTATCTGGCATACGTGAAACGTTCTAGCATCGCAAATATTTAGCCGTACTCTGAGTTTCCAACCGCCAGATGCTTGCGTTCACGGCACTCTTCATCAGATGTTTCTTATAGTGCACCATGTGTACATTTGATAGTTATTCCGAGAACGAAATGATGTTACCGCTAATCGGGCTGATAAACATGCCATCTTCCAGAGCCTCCTACACTCTCAAGCTCCTCTCCCTCAGTGCGCGCCGGTGCTAGAGCTCCTTCTCGCCTACCTCACTCCTCCTCGCTTGCCCCTCAGGTCACATGACCACCCTGTTGATCAATCAGCGTGCGGACCCAACCAATTATTGTCGAGCCTCGCGGCACCGCTTTTATCGAGGCTTCACGAAATGCCAAACAACTAGCCAAAGAAAGTTCCACCGTTAAAAGGCAGTATTCTCTCTACTTTTCTACTCTTGTGGAAAAGTAAAAAAAAAAAATAAGTGCGTTTAGTTTGCCACGAGAGAGGAATGTAAGGAAGGTAAAGTCGGACCAGTTTGTCACACTGCTCCGCTTTCGGGGGCTGCGTACTTTGGGCGCTCTGCACTTTTTTCCGTCTTAGTTTCGCTTTCGTGCTGCCGCAGCCACCAACATTCTCCACATGATAACTCGAAGAAATTTTTTCTTATAATATTTAACAACCTACTTGGCTTATGTAAATGACGGTTGCAAATCTTCAGTTGAAATATGCAGCTAGAAGTAAGTCACAAAATTATAGTTAATTAAGAAACTAATTGTTTCTTTATGCTTGTGCTATAGTCAATAACATAATTTTGAAGTAATTATGTCTTTATTACCAATGTTATTTTCGTTTTGAACATTTTTTCGTCATAGGAAAGACATCCTATATATATATATATATAAATATATATATATATATATATATATATATATATATATATATATATATATAGAGAGAGAGAGAGAGAGAGAGAGAGAGAGAGAGAGAGATACTAAATGCAGCTCTAGTATTGAAAACAATTTTCAAGGTAGACTCCTCATATCAGCATTCGCCAATTTCAACCATTTTTTCCTCAAATACCTGAGGCATATATATGCGTGCAACATCCCTCTTCTGGAGGAGTAACTTTCCCCTGAGCACGCGGCTGTACTGCGGCAAAGTGAGATACGCAAAATGGCCACTCCGCGGGTCTAACTTCTCTGCAGCGCACTTGTGCACGTTGAGAAGTGCGCTCAACGAGGCAATGTTACGCGAATAAATCATAAATAAGAAAAATGGTGAAACTTCCCCGTACTGTCAGTGTACATTATGAAGTCCCATTATAATTGTGTGTTACTTGACAGGAAAATCGGAACTTTTAAATTTCACATAAACCTTCAGTACTGTCTTTTGGTGTAGCGGTACTAAAACCTTTTGATTTTAGTATTGATAAATTGAAAGTCACTTTTGCTGCAATATTGATGCAAATTTCTCTCATTTTAGTGAAATGTAGCATGATCTTGTAGGGCAAGTACTTTGGCATATTTTAGCGCAAATGGCGCAGCCATCTCATCACAGTGAGTCTTCTTAATAGATTTTTAAGAACTAGAGGTGACTTTTCAGTGTATTAATGATGTAACACCATTTGCGACAAATAAAATATGTCTAATTAAGGTATTTTTATTATAAATATCATCGTGCGACTGAAAATTCAATGTGATGATGACATTACTGAAATGGTCCTCTATTTTAAACTAAGATCAAACTAGTATTGTTCATTTCAATCTCGACTACACTTCAAGTTTTGTGTATAACATTATTTTACTTTCTAGTATACTTATGTCATTCCAATTAGTGTTATTTGGTAAACACAAACTTAAAAAGCGTCATTAAGAAAAATATATATATCTATATGGTGTCCCAGATAACTTGCACCAAACCTCACAAATAAACGGAAGGCTCTGCAACAGTGAAACCAACTGCAAGTTGTTAGGAAGCGTTTTGGGAAAGTGCAGAATTTATTTTCAGTGCGCCTAGTTAATGAGTTAATTAGGACTAATTAGGTAATTGTTTTAAATTATTTGTTTAAGAGCGGAGGTGTGAATTTGAAAGTTGTAGAGCGCATTGAGAAACGAGACAGGGCACTGCAGCCGCAGGTGCTCGCGCTTATCTGCGGGGACTACTCTAACACGAAACCTGTCTCAGACAGCGTGCTGTGATAAGGTAGACTTCCTTCCTTCTGAGCACATCTGAGAGCGCTACAAGCGCGACGCACGGGCGCGTGGTCGCGTGATCTTACTTATATTTCTTGGGCTTTGTTTTCAGGCTAATAAAAAGAAGCGTGCAAAGCGTATTATGTAGGAAACACTTTAATTGGGCGTTTCTCAATGCGCTCTACGACTTTCCAGTTCATACATACATCGGTTCTTAAACGAATAATTAAACATAGCTAGTTAGTAAATCTTCAACTTAGAACAACTAATTAACTAAGCACACTAAGCAAATGTGCACTTTCGCTAGACGTTTTGTAATAACATACAGTTGGTTTCACACTCGCAGAGCGCTCAGCTTTTTGTAAAGTTTGGTGCAAGTTATGTGGGACAGCCTGTGATAGATGAATGATACGTTATATGCATTATAAAAAATATGGTAAAAAGGCTCATTTGAAAAGTGTTTAGCTTTTGTGCAAAATAGAAATATGAGCCCCTGTGTAACCAAAACACCTACCAGTGACCTTTGCAGACAAAATGAGCAAAACCTGAGCAAGACAGCTGTCAGCTTGTAGTAAAAAGTTATGACAGTCCTAACCACGAACTGATGACTAAAGCACACAATGGTTTGTTGTGTTAATTCCAGATTTTTATGTAATCTAAAACAATCCCTGGCAATTGGCTGATAAGCAGGGAATGCTAGCTACTGTTGGTGTGTGGTTTCCAATTTAGCAGCTTGTATTGTAAGCTTTCTACACAAAATATATGGCTAATAATTATGAATATAGATACATACCAATTCAGATTCATTGATTAATGACTTGCAAGCTTCATAAATGAGCTAAACGCTTTTTCAATTTTTTTTAGAACATCTGACTTCATGCTTTTGCAATGCGCCGGACTTCATTTTCTTTTATTTTCCTACTGAACCAATTCAATGGACTCAAATTTCGTAAATACCTTGATTTCGTCTTCACTAAGGGATGACAAGTCCATGTTGTTTCGTCGCCAAACAATAGGAGGAGGAGGAGTTCCCGTAACATCACACTTGATTTCCACATTGTCACCCACACGAGCCGTCACATGATTGACTTCTAGTGACTTATCCAGTGACACAACTGAGACACCTATAAATGAGACAGACAAAAAAATGTATTTTACATCAGGCCATGTCTGTGCGAGCATTCTATGTATTGCCAACGGGAATCTCAAGGTTAAAACAGAACCATGCGGACTGCGTGATGATTAATTTCTAATGTGCTCTTCAGGTTGCCGAACAAAAGAATCATCTTGTATTCAGGAAGTTCCTGAAATTCGCCAATATGTTTGAATTATTTTGTTTCATACCCAGCCAAAGCGTAGAACCCTAACCACAATGGTAGCGTCCCAATTCGCTCGGATACAATAACTAGTTTTCCATGCGCATCGTCCAAAATGTATAAAGATTAGTATCGCCGATAACGGTGTACTACCTCATTAAAAATTCTGATGCAGTGACATCACCATATGATGATTTGAAGACAAACTAAAACAAAAATCTAAAAAAAACCTTTACATTCCGATATGTGCATGTCTCTCTTTTCAGTTTCACAAAGCTGTTGACAGTGCAAAACGTTTCAGAGAAGTTTCTAAGGGCAAACGAATGAGGTGGAAAAGAGGAAACCCAGTTGCACACACTTACTGTATAACTTACTAAAGGCAAGATAGAACTCGTTGATGTTAAGACGGCCGTCGTGGTTGGTGTCGTCAAAGAGCAGCATGTCGGCCAGGATGCAGACGGTAGAGAGCTGACCCAGCCGGTCTTCTTCACCAGCTTTCCACAGCTCTTCAGCCTCCAGCAGTCCATTGTGGTTGTGATCATAGTGTGAAAACATGATGCTCACGAGGTATTCATTACCTGGAATCAATTTTAGAGAAGCAATTAGGAGACATTTTAGAAAGAAAAAAATAGCGTTTTATTTGTAACTTTATATACGAATTTTTTTTAGTCTGACGAGGGTGAAGTGTTAGCCAAGTTGGTGATTTATAGTGTTTAAAAAGCGCAACAGGACAACAGACAGGAAGGAGGACGCAAACACAGCGCTGTGTCTTCCTTTGTGTCCGTTGTCCATTTGCACTTTTTAACCATTTGTGAGTCATTGACCAACAAATTTAGAATTGCTGGAAACTCCTCCATGAAGCTCTTGCCTTAGCGGTAATTCACAGTCCTGTTTGTTTCTTTAACAATGCATGAACGTTAACAGGAAAAGAGCACACTAATCACATAAGGTATCCAACATATTTGCTCAGTGGCCATAGTATTTCATTGGTTTTTGAAAGAAATATGTTACTTGCGCAGAGGCACGAATTTACTAGTTTTAAAAACATCTCCACCCGTTTCTGACAAAAGAACCGCTTAAAACGCAGCAAAGTGTATTGTGAATGGGCTACTGCAAGAATGTATTGTATGTACTGTATTGTGAATGGGCTACTGCAAGCTACTCCATGCAGTAAAACTGCGGAAAGTTATTATACCACCGTCGACACCACGTAACTAGCAATGCCTATGCACTAAACATTCCCCGTCTTCTATTTTGATGAAATGCGAAGCACAGCTTTGACATCAGTCGGGCACGTAGCCAGGATTTTGTTTCGGGGGGTGGGGGGGGGGGGGGGGCGCCCATGACAGAATGCTGTATGAGGGGGAGGGGGGAAAGGAGGTCCCAGCAAAAGGGGAGATTTCAGGGGGGGGGGGAGAGGCGGGCCCCGTGCCCCCCCCCCCCCCCCCCCCCCCCCCTCTGGCTACGTGCCTGACATCAGTGCTGAGTCCGTGTTTGGCTGAGACAGAGTCAGTGTGCCGACAGGACACGTGTTCCACCTGAACGTTGAACACCTGTCCCAGCCGAACGACGACGCAGTACTTGTGTCCAAACAGTGTCTCGGGTTTTATTGAGACATATAATGAAGAAAATGCCTCGCTATCTAGGCAGCATTAACACAGCTTGCAAGCCCAAGATCAGTATTCCTCCACAGTACGCAACTGCGCTTTGGCGAAGAGGCCCACCGACGAGCATAAAACAACCTGACTTTGCAGTTGCGCAACACTCTTATTTAAGAAATAAAATAGCAACGCAACAATCGTTTTTGATCAATAAAAAAAGTACATTCAAAGAGGAGAAGGGGAACATTTTATGAGTGACTGCAAGCGTTTTTCGACAATAAAAATGCTTTATAAATAAAAAAAAATAAGCCACTCAACGCAGCGCAATTATACTTTTCACAGAGGTGTCTATAAATGGGACATAGTTGTTACCTACAAATTTTGTAATGATGGTTTCTGAAACAACCTGGGCATGAAAGGAGTGTTTTATTTTTATATCCTGCTACACTCACAGATGGTGTCATACATCGCCATATATCCTTTCGGGTATTAATCTGAAGAAAACCTTTAAGTTTGTGATCCATATCGTGAATCGTTGTTAACCAAGTGGTGTATTGTAGGTAAAAACAGTGAAATTAAGAATTAGTAAAACGTCCGGCACTTAAACCTTAGATCCGTACAACGGAGATGTCGCTGCTGACAGCCTGACAACAACGTTTTTTTTTTGTTTTTTTTGTGTGGGTTGTCTGTGATGGCTTAACATGTTGTGGCTCTTGCTGTTTTCTTATTCCTGAATCAGTAATGTATTTGTTTGGCGTTATGCGAATTAGAAAGCGTGCCGAAAAGCCTTTGCCTCCCTCAAAATCTTTGTGTGTTATCAACAGCACCTGCTCAAGTGTGTTGTGCTCAAGGGCAGGAACGTTGAGCTTCAATTCTTTTTTTAAGCGAACGCGGCGTCATTTTCTTGACACGGCATTGAGTTTTGTGGCCTTGCTTCCCGAGCACTTCAGCAAGGCTTTCCGTGTCTCACGTCTCTCAAGCTATTTCACGAGGACACTTAGTGGAGCCATCTGTCAGACACACCGTCGTCCAGAACTTTTATTTATAAATTATTCCATGTGCATACCAGCACAATTAGACATTTGGAGTGTCGTTCTTTCAAGCGGTGTAGCTATTAAATGACGAAACTCGTCTTTAAGATATTATTATAAAAATTACCCAATTATAATGGTGTCTCCTTGTATGTACTCCCCTCCCTTGTCCCTACACCGCTCCGTGCAAATGTTCCATAGCTGAAAGCAGTGCTGTAGGTAATCAAGTGATAAGCCCTTTATAAGCTCCATCGTTTTGTCCTTCACAGCATCAACAGAATCAAACCTCGTTCCTTTTAACCCAAACTTGATTTCAGAGAATAGGAAAAAAATCAGACGGGGTCATGTCAGTTGAGAACGGCGGGTGCCCCAACACGGTGATGCAACGCCGTGCAGGGAATGACATGACTGGAGAGGCTTGGTGTGCTGTCGCGCGGTCTTGATGAAGGATCCGTGAATTGTTGCTTCACCTTTCAGGCAATGTCGTTCCTGGCTCAGCACTGCATCACCGTGTTGGAGCATCCGCCGTTTACACTTGACCTGACCCCATCTGCTTTTTTTCCTATTCCCCAAGATCAAGTATGGGTTGAAAGGAACAATATTTGGCTTTATTGATGCTGTGAAGGCAAAAACGACGGAGCTCATAAAGGGCTTCTCACTTGATGACCTAAAGCACTGATTTCAGCAATTGAACATTTGCATGGAGCGGTGTAAGGATAGGGGAGGTGTGTACATACAAGGATACAACATTACAATTGTGTAATTTTTATTAATTGCGAGAGAAGAAAATATAAGCTTATAAAAAATTCATTTGCAAAGAGGTAAAATTAGGTTTAACCGCTGAAGAAAACCGATACCTGTGTACCCGCACCTTACTCTTAATTATAAAAAAAAAGAATACACAAGAATTAAAGAGTCGCTTTCTAAAAAAGGCTTAAGCGGAACCACGAATACAAGAAACTAACACTCCGTTTCACTTTACGAAGTACCGCAACGGACGCCCCGAGCCACTGAAGACAATCTATACCTCGGAAAGTGTCACGTGACCCTTTAGCTGGGCAGAGACACGTGGAAAAGTCACGTGACAAGCTCCGAGTAATGGATTGGCTCCGGGAGCCCACGGCGCCCTTCGCGGTACGTCATAAGGTGAAACGGAAAATAGGGGTCATTTACCAAATAACACCATTCTCACCTGTCTTCTTGCTGTCTGTCATTTTGGCGTTGTTGTAGAGCAGCAAGTTCTCTTTCATGAAGTCGTACTCCTGCTGAGTGCAGTCCTGCTGTGTCGAATCTTCCGATTCCGTGGTGGTCATCACTTTGGTCTCCAGGGAAGGGTGGTTCGTCCAAGAGGTGGGAACGTCTGTCCGCTCCAACCGCTGCTCCGACGCCGGCGATGTGGAGTTTTGCTTCTCTGTCGTGCTCTCGTGTTCGGGATCTGGCAGAGATGACAAGCATACAGATTCTCATATGCTTAAGTAAATGATGTCAAATACTCCTAATGTAAAACACTAAAGGTCTCCCAGCAATGACAACTCCCTGTTACAGAGCTCAACATTAGTGACATATTGTGCCATGCGGCTAGTTCGATTGTCTGAGCAAGCCGTTGCCCGGAGCAACAAAAGATTTGTCCGAAACCTCGGACGTTAAAAAGCCTTTTAAAATACCGGTGACTACCTCAACATCAATACTGTTTTATTGTCTCAGGTGTCTTAAGACAGCGCAATATAACCTAAAAATATTGCATCACGAAAAAAAAATTTAAAAATTGGAGCGCAAACACGCTTGTTTGAAATCTGTGTTCGCCATCCCTCTACAAGCTCACCTCACTTTGTTTTTGCGATGACGCATAAGGCAAAAACTTTAGTCGGAAATATAGAGGATTCCGAAGCTGCATTTCTGTAACACTTGTAACACATTCATTAAATACACGTTTTTATAAAAATTACCAATGGACAACTCCACTGATTTTGAAATATAAAAACAAATCAGAACCCGGAAGTGTTAGTGACGAGGCGTTGGTCACTTCATGGCCTTTCACTTCACGCAACCTCGTTAATTTTAGGGTGCATTCAAATTTCGCGGTGCTGTGGCCTCCAGCAGCACCTACGCGACGTCGCCTTTCGCGTTGCTTATCGAAATTTGCTACACGTCGTACACTGCTCTACCTCTTCGCATTTTAGACCAACAAAACAGAACACTGCTCAAAAACGTTGACTCGAACTAAAAAGCGACGAGTCGTCTACACAGATAGGATGAACACATGGCACGCCAGCAAAGCAAGAACTAGGAACAAAATGCAAGGAGCGGATGATTTTGACAGCTACGTCATTCATTAGCGCGGAAAATTCAAACAGGGCTTTTTTATTTTTTTTTCTTTCTTGCAAATACGCGGTTTCGGAGCTTCACCTTATTAGGATGATGTCTAGGGATCGTTTGCAGTCATTTGCCTTAAATTACAAAGCTAGTTAGGTGCGAGTCGCCTCATAAAGTGTTCGGAAGCGGCTGAATGACGTCACTTTCTTCTGCCAAAAACATAGGTGCGCGGAAAAACAGGAGCACGGGTGTTTATGAGAACAGATTTTCAACCAAACGCCGAACTCTTAAAAGAAGTGGTGTGGAAAAGGGAAAAAAGGTATTAATTGGGGCTAATTGGTACATACTAAAAAATTGAAACAAATAGCGTGAAGGCAATCGGGAGCTCAGCAACAAATTGCTAATGAGTTCCAATCCCGCATCAACTAAAACGGCAAAGGTAATTATGGCCTCTCAAGCAGCGTTCAATACGCCATTACAACATTTACGGCCTCGTTAAAGGTCCTACAATGACCAAATCCTCAGGGAAGAACACAGCCCTGCAATGCAACTCCTGGTGAGCTTCTCAGTTTGAAGATTATTTTATGCAAAGTGTCACAAAAAAAAAAACCAAAAAAACATTGCACGCTAAAATGGTTCGCAAAATTAAAAAAAAAAAATAATATATATATATATATATATATATATTTCAAAAAATTTAAAAAAAAAAAAATATATATATATATATTTTTTTTTTTTTAATTTTGCGAACCATTTTAGCGTGCAATGTCTTTTTTTTTTGTGACACTTATATATATATATATATACACTTGGCCGATCTTGTAGCAACATTTCTCAAAAATGTCTTTAACTGGTCACATTGTTGTGCTAAAATCTCAAATCAGAACTCCGAGAACAAAAAAAAAAAAAAAGTGATTCTTTCAACGACGCAGCGGCAGCTGTCGGGGAGACACTGAACGACGGCTATGTTTCTTTGCCTTATCCAGAGATGGCGCTGCAGATTGCTGGACGCAAAACCACTGGGCGACGAGCGAAAAAGCGCGCTTTATCCGAGTTTTTGATTCCGGGGGATATCTGCCAAAATAAAGTTGTTTGGGTTTTCAGTGAAGTTTCACAAAGCAGAAAGTGTCACGCCATAAATATTAATAAATAAAACCACCCAATGCTGCTCCCGAAATGACGTACCTTCGTCTGCGACGGTTCTTGTTTCGTGCATCGTCTGCTTTCGCAGTTTGACGTTTGAATGAGACACGAGAGGCTGCCAGGAGTGTTCCCGAAAAAGCAGCGATTTGGTGGTTCTGAAAAGAGCCGCTCAAATCTGAACCATGGTCTTCGTAGTTACGGCCGAATGCCTTATTAACACTGGTCACTGGAAGCTGATTAGAGTGTGAATGAGGCATTTGACCACAACTACAAAGACCGTAGTTCAGATTTGAGCGGCCCTTTTCAGAACCACCAAATCGCTGCTTTTGCGGGCGCACTCCTGGCTGCCTCTCGTGTCTTATTCAAACGTCTAACTGCGAAAGCAGACGATGCACGAAACAAGAACCGTCGCAGACGAAGGTACGTCATTTCTGGAGCAGCCTTGGGCGGTTTTATTTATTAATATTTATGGCGTGACACTTTCTGCACTGTGAAACTTTTACGAAAACCCAAACAACTTCATTTTTATTAATATCCCGGGGAACCAAAGACTCGGATAAAAGCGCGCTTTTTCGCTCGGCGTCTAGTGGCTTTACGTTCAGTAACCTGCAGCGCCATCTCTGGATAAGGCAAAGAAACTTGGCCGTCGTTCGCCGTCGTTCAGTGCCTCCCCGACAGCTGCCGCTCCGCCGCTGAAAAAATTACTTTTTATTTTCTTATTTTCTTTGTATTCGGAGTTCCGACTTTAAATTTTAGCACAAAAATGTCACTAGTTAAAGGGATTGTCGAAAAAAATTAGTACAAAATCCGCAAGGTTCTTTTTTCTTTTTTTTTGCAAGCCACTTTAATGTGTAACTTTTTTTTTTTTTGACACCTTGTACCTGTTGGCAAAACAGAAGGTGACCAGGAACGCTTTCCTGTCACGTAGCCTAAAGAGGAGTCAGACAGAGAAATACCTCCGGCTCATGTCGACGTGCTTTTAATAAACTTAGTTCTACAACAATATAGCGCGCACGTCGTCTGAATGCGTTGGGAGCTACGTGCCCGCCAGACCAATCGGCCGCCTCCCTTTCATCTCGTGACCCGGCTCTTTGCGCGCCGGTGTGCGCGAGGGGAGGGAACACGTGGCGAAGGGGACACGTACGACTGGTCCAACGAGGACGTAGCTTCTACCGAAGTGTCAGCTTAGGGATGAACGGAGTATAGCGGATGACTTCTGTGTTCGACGGCCACCCGAGAGAAACGTGGAAACCTGCCAGTGATACCGCCCGTTTAAGCTATTCTTCATCAAAGTACGTGCCACACCGACAAAAAAAAAAAAAAAAAGGAAGGGATTTGAGGGTGTTTTGTTAACCCCAAGTTGAATCAAATCGATAATTGCAACTCGAGGAGACTGGTACAGTGGACAGCCCAAATTAATTGTATAGATGCTTCTAAGGACTAAATCCAAACTTTCTTTAAGAATTGCGCCTGGTGTCGCAGGGGAGATTTAGCGAGTGCCTTAAAGGCGGGCGCTCAAAATTTTCTTCAGCGTGGCAGAAGATTCCCCCTCTTTTCTTTTTTTCCTCCTCCCCTTTCCTCCTCCATTTTCCTCCTCGCTTTTTCCGGCCTTCTCGCACGAGTGCTAATGGGCTTACCGGGCCCCCGACAAAATCTCTGTAACCCTTCAAGGTTCTCTGCTTCAATCCCAAACATCAGGGATTAGTTAGGCAGGCTGGATATGAGCTCGGAAGGGTTCGGGCTGGCTCGCTTTTCTTCTTTCTTTTTTTACTTGTTTTCTGCAGCTCTAAAACGCACTCAGATAGTCAACACCAACGACCAAACAACGAGTTCTTTTACATTCAGATACTTCCGCATGCGGCCACATACGCTACAACAGCGCATATTTATCTCGAGTGGACGGAACTTGAACTTCATAGCAGAAGGAAAAAAGAGGGGTATTTTTATCTGAACTTTGAGCTCTACACAGAGAGTTGAAAATTGGTCGTTCTAAAAACGGCACACTGAAGAGTAATTGTATCTCTATTGTGTTTTTTTTTTGTACAAAGTAATAATTACGAGTAATTACAAGTCAAATATATTGCAGTCAGAGGGACGCAGTCTGATCATTTCTGGGGCATAATATATAGGTTCGTACTACAGGTGTTTTCTAGAGTAACGGCCGCCTCGTTGAAGCTACTAATAAGAGTAAAAACAAACTTCCATAAAAAGTGAAACGGTTTATGGTATATTTCATGTATCTTCAATTTTTGAAAAAAAAAAAATTCTTCGTTGTCAAACGTGCATTTAGTTTCTGTCAACAAATGTAACTGAAAACTCGACAGCCGACAAATGTCTTGCGTATCAACAAAGAGAACGGGAACAGGGAGATTGAACCTCAAAATCACAATTTTCTTCGCGTAAATATAGTGCAACTAGCAATAGTAGCATATTATGCCATTTATTAAAAGACAGCAGGTATTACGAAGTTTTTATTCTCTTCTATTCCCATTTGTCCGGTGATCAAGAAATGGAATGCCCAGATAGCCTCTGCAGCCCTTGCATCATAATTGTTCGGGGCTCTGTCGTGGTGGGCGAAGGCCAGCGATCATCTAAAAAAAAAAAAAAAAAAACAATTCGTGCAAATACAATTTTATGTGGAATTCAATGTCAAAACAGTACTTCCGTGGGAAATAATGCATCCGTCGTTCTTCGTCTTCCTGAAGCTATGAACTACCGATCTCGGCTACAGGACTTTTGGCTCCACAAAATATCACGCTCAGTAGAAAATTCGCCTTTTTTACCAAAAATACTGGAAATTATTTATTTTTCATACAGGTCGGGTGGTGATGCGTGTTTGAGTGTAGGACCGTTGACTGGGCACTGGTTTGCGCCAAGAGTGCATGCAGTGCTCCCTTCCGAGCTGCCTACGACGAGTGTTGAAATTTGAATATAGTAGAGATAAAATACACTGGCACACTTAGAATTATTTTAAACTTGCGCGTTCTTCAGGCATTAAGATTTTGATTGTACCTTTTATTCATTGTCGTCTTCGATGAGGGAACAACTTGCCGAGGAGGCCGCGCTGTCCGCTTACGCGGCTTGACAGATAAGGTCGCAAATGCTTTTCACGAATCTTTAAAGACCAAGCATAAAATTTAAAGACGCTTACAAATCTTTGTAACGCGAAATTAGAGCGCAGACACTTTACGCCAATAAAACCAACTCTATGTTTTGGGCAGACGTCTTGCGAGAGTTGCAGTATTTTTAATTATGCCTAATAAATTAAATGTTTAGGACTAAGTACCAAACTTTTTTAAATGTATTAAGAATCTAAATATCAATGAGAAAGTTCTAGAGCTTCTTGAGAAACACCAGAATTAGCTGTTCGCAAAGTGATACGGCTCGCGTGGCTTCCTTCTGACTAGTAATGAGGCTTATGAAACATTTCAAAATACCCCGTGATAAAGCGCCCGCCCCATCATAAACTCAATTTCGAATGTCCCGGGATTTGTTTTTATAGGCCGGAAAAAAAGTAAAACAAGAGATGCATACAAGACGCGTGCCCCACGCTTTATTTATGTCAGTATTTTATATACAATGTTGTTGTTTTTTTGTTTATCATTTTTCACCCACTAGATATTAGAAAAAACGTGCAAATTAACGTTTTGTGGATCTGAGCTATACGGCCAGGCGAGGATTAGATTCAAGAAAGAACGCAACTAAAACCAACCGATTGCCTAAAATTCGCTAATTAACCATTTAATCGGAAAAGAAAACGGCATCGTGTTGTTGGCCATATCCGCAAGCCACCAAACCGTCCATTCTTAAAAAGATGTAACGCGCGCACACTATTATACGGCGTCCTGATACGGCGTCCTCCTAATTTGGGCGCGAAAATATAGTTCTGATTTTGTGGGGCCTCCATCTCCGCGTTGCACAGCCCAACGCCATGAAGCCAAAGCTACAAATCATGCGCATCGCTGTGACAACGCCACTGTAGAAGGGGAGAGGAGTGCGGCGGCCGAAAACATTGCGGTAACACGATTCGCGTCTAAATTAGGCTTTTTAGGACGCCGTGAACCACTTCACGTGCACTACATCTCTTTAAAAATGAAAGATTTGGTGTTTTTGATGACTAGAGATAAGACACAAACCGCAATTGCGTAACACTGACGTCTTTTTTAAGAACAAATGTCTAGTCGTTAAGAAACAAAATCGGCCTGTATGAGCACGATTGTAAGGCAGTTCTTTACGTCCGGCGACATCATTACGGCATGGAAGGAGACGTTGACCACAGATCATACGCTGTGTATGATCTGTGGTCACTTTTTTTTTTCATACGAGAATGAGCAAACATTTGATACCAAATAAAATAGATTTAGCATTCACCAAATTCGGCTTGTTTACTTGATTCAAATCGATATTTGATTTGATTACACTTATTTTGTACCCGCACACGCGTACTTTATTCCGTAATGAGTTACAAATGATAATTACATTGTTGTTGTTTTTTTGTCGTGTGAGGTCATCACAATTTATTATTAACAATCGGAGCTATGCGGTTACGCAGAGGAGGCGCATTTGAAGATATTCAAAATTGTTCTGAGTACACAAACAACTTCAAACGTCTTGCTGTTTGGGTCCTTTCCTACACGCAGGACCAATAATAAAGCCAAAACCTTATAGAGGACACTATCTCTATCAACTGAACGCGCAAACACGATGTGAAGCGCGTCTGCGTACGTTGGAGAAGAGATACCGGCGAGGAAACCATGGCGTCGAATGTCCATGCATCAAAATATCCGTGCACCAAAATATCCGCGCACCGAAATCTCCCACACCGAAAAGTCTTTGCAGCAAAAAGTCTGTACACTGAAATGTCTGTGCACCAAAAAGTCCGCACCGAAATGCCCTACAGCAGAACGCTCTACACCGAAAAGTGCTAGACCCACTACGGATGGGATCCCCCGTCACCTCTGCCGGTTTACGAACCATAATGATTCAGAACCACTGGTCTATGGAGCGCCATCCCTGATATACAGAAAACGCCGCTCGTACTTCCCGGTGTCGCCATGAATCCGCCTAAACAACGAAAGATGCCAAATGAGATATTTATATTAAAATTGATACTTCAATGACTACTTCTTTGAGCAGAACAAGGTATTTGTGTTCTCACACCAGCAAGAATCGTCGTCCAAACCAATGCTAAAAAAGAGCCAATGCAACTCGTTGGGAAGAGCAAGTTCCAAGCTCGCTCAAAACAGCTACTCGGTTGGTTCAGCTCCTTGTCGCAGGTGTGTCGGCTGGCTTCTGGTTAATCTTTTCAAATCCTTGAAGCTTTCATTTCCTCCACCCCAAACTTGTCAAAAAGAAGAAGAAAAAAAAAAACAAAAAAAAAACAGGCAGCCGGTAAAAAAAAAAAAAATTAAAAAATCGGAAAATGGCGAGGTGGAAACGAGAGGCGATTTCCCCCTTTCACAGTGGCGAGAAGGAAAGTGAGGGTCGGGTTCCTTCTCTCTGCTTGCGGGCCGGCCTTTAAGCCGCGGAACCAGCTAATAGATCATACAAAAGACAGTCTGCAGATGGGAGGCGTCCTCGCATGACGGACGTGCCACATCTGTGGTACGAAAACTGTCTGTTGTTCTAAGCAGACATACGTACGAGAGAAACGTGACTCGAACGATGTTAGAGGTGAGACCGCAGATAATTCTGTCGTCATCAGCTGCAGCGCGCACCTTGTCTTTTGTTACGGTAAGTGAGGAGTGTGAGCGCGGTTTTATGCAAGCTCTTGGCCGACACTTACGGACGCAGTTTCCCTTGTGGTCGATGGTGATCGCCTTGGCCGACAGGCAGGCGGCCCTGTGTAGCTCGCAGTGGTTGATGTAGTAGTTCCCGTCCGAGCCGCAGACGGGCTTTTTCCGCTTTTTGCACGACTTTTGGCAGACGCAGGTAGCCTCGCCGGCGTCGTTCACGTCACACTGCCGCCCACGTCCGCACACCATCGTCTCGCAGAGATCTGCACGCCAAAAATAGAAGCGAGAGGATTGGTTATTAAGCGAGAAAACGACAACTTATAGTGCACAGAGACCTGATGTCATGAAGAAAAAAGCAGCATGCATGACAGGTTGCGGAGATGGTAGACTCATATCGGGCAGAAAAAGATCATGAAAATTTGTCTTAAAGGGGTATGCAACGATTCATTCTAGCGTTGAAAGAATTGGCAATTTGTATTTTTTATATTGTGTATTCAAGCACAACTGACCAAAAACGCGTCACATTGCCCGAAAAACTGCTATTCCGGTGCGTAATTGCAAAAGAAGAAAACAAGATATTTGCCATTCTGCAGCCGCTTGTGGTGGTTAACGGAACTGATCTGTGACGTAGACTGGGGGATATGTGGAAGTGAACAAAACCTGTCCCCCTCCGCTGCTACACTCGCCATCACCTCCGTGGCGAAACGTCGTTAGTGTCGATCGTTCGCCGCGACCTTTGACGACGCTAATCTTTTAAAAGTCCATAATCGCGGAGGTAGCGGCTGGGGTCTCTGAAGAGAGAGCCCAAGGAAAACCACGTGATCCCCCAGAGTATGTCACTCGAAAGACGACGTGGAGAGTTGAGAGGCACTATGACCTTTGATTTGTTTCAATTGTTTTACAGAAAAACTAGCGCTCGCAAGCAAATACGGTTTTCTGTTCTTCGTTCCATAGGGGGCACAGAATAATTTTCGCAGTTAATTGGCCAAAGTCTGAAAATCGTTGCACCGCCCCTTTAGCACACGTTAGGACTAAAAATGTTTGAACGAAGACAGCGTCAAAACCACATGCTTCTTCGTCAATTCGTCACCAAACATAAGGCCGATGTGGTCGGGCTCGGGAATACAAAAAATGTTATTATTATTATTATTATTATTATTATTATTATTATTATTATTATTATTATTATTATAAAGTACTTAGTAATGTAAAGTACTTAGGAATCTTGTTTGACTGCGGTTTAACTTGGAACGCTCAACTCACGTCCCTCTGTAAAAAATTAAGGAGTACTTGTTGTCTGCTATATAATACAAAATCACTTATGCCTCTCTCAGTTCGCAGACTAGTCACCCATGCTCTTGCATATAGTGTGTTACAATATGGCGTTACGGTGTTTGGAAACTGTTCCGGCTTCTGGCATGAGAAAATTGACTGCATTTTAAAAAAATATTTTGAAAAGTGTTTCTTATGGCATGCAACTTCCCGATGGTACTGATCTCTTTCAATATTTACAATTTCCCTGCCTCCGAACACTTTTTATTCAAACTGTTATCTTACGATACTTTTGGACAGATCAATTCAAAAGAAAAAACGTTGTTCTTCGTTCTCTTCGTTTTCAAGAGACTTTCGAGATACCTTTCGCCCGAACAAGATATGGACGATGTACACGCGAATTTTACGTGCCTGAACTCTTTAATAATCTGCCTTCTGAAATTTTACAAGCGAATTCACTGCGTCAACTAAAGAGAATGCTGAGACTTCACCTACTGGGATGAGATGTCGCCTAGCGTGTGCATATTTTGTTAGTATCAGTGTGTATGTGCCTAATAACTGATTCAGTTTTTGAACATCCTAAAGTTTTTCAATCTGTTTTACTGATGTCTGTGTGACGAACTTTACACTGCTTTTTCGTGGACATATCAGTTGTTTTTTTTTTTTGTTGTAATTTTTTGGGCGGCATCACACAAGCCATTTGTTGGCTTTGACTGCCCCCGCACTCTTGTATGCTTTCATGAATGTGTCCTGAATACAAGTTTATTATTATTATTATTATTATTATTATTATTATTATTTAGTTTTACACCTCTACTTATTAATATTATACTTCAATTTTTTTTCTTTTATTCTCACGAAACAAATCGTGTATCAATATCTGAGCCATGTATAGTGTGTAGTGCATTATCTTTCTGTTTTTCTTTTTTTTTTGTTTAATGTATTTTTACCCACCAGTGTACCAGCACCAAGGCCCATCCTGGGCACTGTACAAAAAAAAAAGATTGATTGATTGACTGACTGATTAATTGATATATATATATATATATATATATATTGAGAGATAGATAGATAGATAGATTAATATCTAATATCTCTCAAATATACGTATGACCACCGCGACGTGGGCGATAATTAGGGTGTGTACTTTCCGGTGTTTATTTGTGAGAAAAATCGGCGGATGTTTTTCGGTGTTTATTTATTTTCAAAACACCGGTGTATTTCGGTGGAACGTCTCACGACGAGGCTAAAATCGGTGATTATCGGTGAAAAAAAAGCGATTGATCACAGACAAAGATTTCCAATGTTATTCACATAGTTCATACACTTCTTCTCTAGGAAGCAACCATTTCTCACACTAGGTTATTATAGTAGATGCAAGCATACTTTCATGCTTGCATCTACACGCAAGGAACGTGCTGCCGTCATGGCAGCACGTTCCTTGCGGTTCGCAACCCGCATTTGTGAAAACGCACGCTCCTGTACGACACGGACGTTGGCAGTGTCTTCCAAAAACCACAGCAACCTCTAAATACATGGCTTGCACCGACATCACTTGGCCAGACACAATGAGGAAAAGGCACGTGAGAGCCTACCCTCCACTGCGTTAATTTGTCCACAAAAGGGGGCCATGGGAGACACTATGGGGGAAAGGCGTATGAGAGCTTAGCTTCCACTACGTTCACTAGACGCTTTTGCCCCCCAGAAAGGAGGGCGGACTGACGCCACCTGCAAGCCACATATATAATAAACACTGGAAGAATGCAAGATCCACAAGATAACACGTTTGACGAACCTCTACGGGGAAAGGGTTTCGCTAGGTCGGAAACTAGCAACGACCGGTGTTTTTCGGTTTTAACCAGGGCGAAAATATCCAACCACCGGTGTTTTTCGGTTAAAACCGGAAAATGCACACCCTAGCGATAATCCTCATCTGCGTCTCCAGCAGAGCGGAACCTGCGCGTCAACATACAAGCCTCAGCAGCACAGCTCTCCATTACGGGCTTTTTAGTTAGGCGTTGATCAGGACCCGGATTAGAGACTGGCCGAAATGCATGTCCGCCACGCTACGTTTCCTCCTGTAATGAACAGCCAGCGGCTATATCCCGAATGACACTCGAATGCGCCCGCTGCTGGCATCCGCGCGGAAGAACAACATCCCCCAATTTCTCGTCCCCCACCCCCTCCCCATCACCCGCTCCCTCTCCCAATCCGCTTCTCACCCCGGAGGCGTCGAGAGCCCGCTGTTTTGAACGGTTTGCAATTGGCGATCGATAGAACAGGTGAAAGCGGGAGAACATCCGGGGGGTGGCTTTATCCGGAGCGAACTCGCACCAACGAAATTAATTTTTCGATCATTTTTGTTTGTTTATCGAATACAAGCGGTCATATCGTGCCCGACAAAGCAATGCTGGCTTGTGCTACCACAGAGTCGGCAGTCCCCTTCCTGCTAGGGTTTTTTTTTTTCTTTGTCTTTAAAATATTACATTTTGTGTCAAAAACAAACGAACGAAAAGGATCCAATGGTCAGAGTCCACGCATGACTCAGAACTTGTGAAAAACATGCTTTACAGAAAATAAATGAATCCTATAGGTGTAGACTATGTGTCGACGCCTCTTAAGGTTAGCTTAGAGTCGGCTAATTAGGCTTAACGTTACGCTAATGTCCATAAATAACTCGTCCGCAGACGACGCAAAAAGCAGAATAACGCCCATACAACTCGGAACAAAAGTATATCGAGATCAGGTCTTGTGAGGTTAAAAACAATTTATTTACTTAATCACTTATTTATTTATATCGTTATGCTTATTTATTTATACAGCCTGTTTCACGAAACTCCGGTAAATTAGATTTTGCGAAAACTACGCATCACACACAGAAAAAGAAAATATTTATCTTTTTTTTTTTTCTGCCCACGTGCTTATGTGGAAAAATTAATATAGTCCGGAATAATTAAGTCAATTATAATTTTCGAGCACTTAACTTATTTAATAATTGCATTTAAGAACATTTTTTATTTATAAACTTTCTGGGCACCATAGAAGACTACTAAATTCATTCACATTACAACGATATAAAACACAAAAAAATTTTAAAGTGTTCCAAAAAGAAAAAAAAAAAAGCAAGCTCAATTTAAATGCGCTTTTAGAGCTTTCAATTTTCTTTTTTATCCCAACATATTTACGTGTTAGAAATCTCGCTCCCAGTTGTAAAAATGCGGAATATGCGTGGGCGCCACCAGGAATCGCACGTAGAAGAGGCTAGATAAGAAAGCCTTCGAACAGCTACATGAGGTTTGCCCGTTTGACGTCGGTGCCATTGTGAAGACGCACTTCTGTGCGATGCGTGGCGGCGCACTCACGTTGCGCGTTTTCGAAACACCGTAAAATGCTTAGCGTTCCTTATATCATTGCAATGTGGGCGGATTTAGTAGTTCTCAATGATTCGCACTCAGTTTCTAAGTCAAACCATGTCTTCAAAAATCAATAATTAAAAACTTAATTATTGAGAAGTAATTGATAACCAAATTATACTAAACGCGCATATTTTTTAATGGCACCTTGGTAAAGCCCCATTACGACATCAAATCTCTCTTTTTTTTCTTTCTTTTTTTTTTTTGCTGCGCGCAGTTTTTGCAAAATCGAATATTTCCGGAGAATTGTGGAACACTTAGTATACTCAACGTGATTACTACATACCATATATTGTTTATCTTCATTTTTATTTAATTAATTTACTCTCAAGGCTAAGAGTAGAAAAAGCAATCGTTAAGTAATTAAATAAAAAAACGCAAATCAAATCAAGATTTAAAAAAAAATGAAATGCACTATTTTATCGTGCAAATAAAAAAAAAAAATATTCGAAAAGTAATATCAACTCTAAAAAAAAATGAAAGTCGTAACTATTGCCAGATGCAATGCCCAGTTCGGGCCCGCATATATGTTCGGGTAGGCTTCGTTAGTTCGAGTTAATCGTAGCCGCCGGTCACAC